AGGGCTCAGCAAAGAGAAGTAGGCTCCATGTGTCATCAGAAATCAATCTGTGTGCACATCTCTGACACTGTCCAGGAACACCCTTCATTCTTCTGGGGGCATATTTATTCTGAGTACTTTTGTCCATACCCTTCAAAATGCTCCCTGAGGAAGCCTCCGAGTTCTTGCATGACCATACCTGCTGCCCACGTCTGATGGGCCAGGCCTGGGTGCCTGCAAGATGAATCTGTCTGAATCCCTCTTCTTTACCTCCATTTATCCTTCCCTCTCTCCCTCCTTTCCTTCCTTCCCTCTCTCCTTCCTTCCTTCTCTTCCTCCTCTTTCTTTCTTTCTTTTTTGTGGTACTGAGGATATAATCCAAGATGCTCTAGCACTGAGCTACACCCCCAGCACTTTTGATTTTGGAGCAGGGTGTCCCTAAATTGCCAGGCTGACCTTGAATTTGCAATTTGCAATCCTCCTTGCCTCCTCCCAAGTCACTGGGAATTGCCCAACTCAGAGAAATTCCTTAGGAAATGAAAACAGAAAACTAAGATGCTATTGGTCAGTTCCATGGGGAAAGCCAGCCTACACACACACACACACACACACACACACACACACACACACACACACACACACACACACACACACACACACACACACGGTGGGGGTAAATGGTATCGAGACACAGAGAAATGGGCTAACGGGGTACACCAGATACTAGCTGATCCTGAGGTTCCACCCCCACCCTCCCCTTCCTGCAGCTGAGTTGCTCTGCTTCTTGTCACTCCATCCACCCACTGCACCCTCTTTCTACCAAGGCTAGACATGCAAGCAACTGTCTGCAAGCAAGGGTAGGTTAATCAAGAGATCAGAGGAAAAGCAACCAGTCTTTCTATTTATGTATTATACACACAGGGATTTATTTCTGGATATTTGAGATACAGATAAAATGAACTCCTTTATAGAAGGAGATAAGTTAAACTATCTGTGGAATTGTCAGGAGGGTTTTGTGATTCAACAAGTACAAAGCACCCTGCCCAGCGCAGCCTCAGGGATGGGATATTTTGGCAGGGAGTGGGGAGGAGCCCATTCTAAAACCTCTGGTTTAGTTTTTCCTTACAGGAGAAATCTAATTAATAAGTGCAGAATAAATGATTAAAAAAAAAGGTACACTCATGCTTTGTTGGTGGAACTGCAAATTAGTACAAATTAGTACTTTGGAAAGGGCTATGGAGTTTCCTCAAGAGACTAGGAGTGAAACCAGATAAATCTGACTTGTCGGTATTTATCGCAAAGAACTAGAGTCAGCATACTATTTACTAACACCTGCATACCAATATTTATAGCAACACAATTTATGATAACCAGGTAGTGGAATCATCTCAGGTGCCTATCAACAGATAAATGGATAAAGAAAATGTGGTGTATATATATACAAGAGAGTTTTACTCAGCCATAAAGAAGAATGAAATTATGTCATGTGCTGGTAGATGGATGAAACTGGAGAATATCATGCTAAGTCAAATAAGCCAGACTCAGAAAGTCAAGGGTTGAAAGTTTTATCTCATATGCAGAGTTAGAGAGAATAATGATAGAAAAAATTGGGTGAGGGGATCCCTTGAAAATAGAAGGGAGAACAGCAGAGGAAGGGAATTGGGGGGGGGAGAGAGAGGGAAAGGTGAGGACTACAGAATAAAACTGGCCAAACTATGTTATGTGCATGTATGAATATATCACAATAAATTCCACTTTATGTATATCTATAATGCATAAATTTTAAAAACCCAATAAATTAATAGAAGGAAGACCAGTAGATTAAAATATAGGAAATCAGGGGAGGGAAGAGGACAGGGAAAGGGGAAATACTGGAAACCAAAATGGAACAGATTATATTATATGCATGTATGAATATGACAGAATGAATCATACTGTTACATATAATGCACCAATAAAAATATTTCTAAAAATCAGTGCACAGAGTTGGGTATGGTGGCATATGCCTGTAATCTCAACGGCTTGGTAGATTGAGGCAGGAGGATCGCGAGTTCAAAGCCAGCCTCAGCAATGCAAGGTGCTAGGCAACTCAGTGAGACCCTGTCTCTGAATACCAAATAGGGCTGGGGGATGTGGCTCAGTGGTCAAGTGCCCCTGAGTTTAATGCTTGGTACCAAAAAAAAAAAAAAAAAAATCAGTGGACAGAAGAATGAGGAGAAGCAGGAGGTCGGCACAGTCTCCACTCATTTCCCCAGAAGACTCTTATTAATTAAGCACAACAGTAAGCTGGCAGGCGAGAAACCTGCCAGATCCCACCTTAACCAAGGAATGGAGTCTAAGTGAGCAGGAACAGGACACCTGGGCATCACGCCATCCGGACAAGAGGGCTCATCCCCTCTGAAGCATTCTCCAAACACCACCCTCCACCTCACCATTGAAAACACCAGCATCACCTACAGCCAGGGACAGTCTACAAAGGGACTGGTCAGGACAACAAAAAGTCACAAGGTCACAAGGGACAGAAAACCAAGGAGCTGGCACAGATGGAAGGAGAATGAAATGATCACCAAGAGCAATGTGGGAACCTAGACAGAATCCTGGGCCAGAAAAGGGGCATTTGTGGCACAAATGGTGACATTTAGATGAGGTCTGTAGAGTCCTTGATAGCACTATATCAGGGTAAATTCCTGATGTGACCAGGGTAGGATGCTTTTTGTGTGAGTTTACATTAGGGGGTCAGCATGAAAATTAGGAGGGACCACTCCTCACTATGTTCAGAACTCTCAGTGACTCTAGAGTTATGTCAACATTTAACAGTGTATACCCCTGAGCTTGAGAAAAACAAACATCAGGTCCAGTATGTTCCCAGTGGGTTTGGCTGAAGTAATGGTGAAAATATAAAACACACACCAACACTTAAGCAAAATCCAAAAGCCCGAGAAAATAGCTGAAACCTTAACTAAAAATGCACATAGATAACTGAGAAACACTTAAGGTTATGGAGTAATTGTCCCCAGAGCTGAGTGGACAATCTCAGGGTCAGAATCACAGGGAAACTGAGATTCCAGGGCCAAACTCACGCCTATTACAAAAGAGCCCTCTACCAGTACTCCTTACGAAGTACCCCTTCAGCCTCTGCTTGGATGTCTCTGACATGGGGAGCTCAGCACTTCACTCCTTTGATGAGTGTCGGGGGTGAGCCCAGGTGCTGCTGACAGCAGTGAGAACTGGAAACAACCCAGTGTCTAGGGCCAGCAGGAGAGAGTGCCAAGTAACCTCTGCAAGTGTTAAGTGATAAGGAAGTGGCATATCTTAATGCATGGAAAGGTGCACATGCCGCAGTCCTGTGTGATAAGAGCAGAGCGAGTTGTGTTTACACACTGACCTCAGTGAGGTTCAAATCTAAGTGTGCACAATAAGGTCTGCAAGATAATGAAGGAAGGAGCAGGCAGCTGCACTTTGAAGAGTCCTTACTATTTTAAAAACTTTATTTATTTTTTTTGGGGGGGCGTGCTTGGGGTGTGGCCTCAAGCATGCTTGGTGAGTGCTCTACCATGGAGCTACACCCAGCCCTGTTTTGATGGTTTTTAAAGTTATATATGTGTAGAATTTAAGTGACATTAAGTATGTAGAATTTTTAAAAATTAGTCCTTAAAAAGGACTTGGGGATTGTCATTTCATGAAGAATTGAGAGAGCTGCAGGGAACAGTAGAGTCGGGAGGATTCTAAGGCTTGGTCTGAACACTGTAGAAAAGAGAGAAAGGATTGCTCTCTGGCATGGGTGAAGAATGGCCTATGACAGTATGTAGGCATGCTATGCACTTGTCTTTATCTTTAGAGTAACTTCCAGTTCCCACTGTTTCACGTTATAGAACCTCTGAAAGGGGCTTTTGTGTTGTTTAATAAGCCAAGGAAGATGCCTTCCCTTTGAGTGATAGCTGTAGGATTTGGAGCTGGAGAATTTGTAGGAGGCTTACAGCTAGAGAGCAGGTGGTGGAAGGGAGAGGAGGAGTACAGGTCATGAAAGTGTGGGTATAGGTGAGGGACGGGCCAGCAGAACGGGCTCCAGACTGGGAGCCAGAGAAAGGACAGACCAGGGTCCAGGGAGGCAAATGGTGGACAAAGAGGCCTCTCAGGAGGACTAGGTCAGGGCAGAGTTGCAGTGGATAGAGACAGTGAAGAAGTGGACAAGGACAGGGGTAGCCCTTTGCTCATGCCCTGCTCCAGGCTTCCCTCCACTCTGCTGCCCAGGCATGGCCAATGCCCAGATGGAGTATCCTGTGAGTGTGACCTAGGCGTGTGCTGAACTAGGATGAGGGTGTCTCCAAGTCCCCTGATGGATGTGGAAAGCCTCTGAAGACACCCCAGTCAGTGACTTCTGCCACTGGCCTCCAGCCCCATCCTCAGCATCAGAACTGCCTAGTTACCAACATGTCTTCATCACCATGCTACCCGCTGGCCTGGGATCCCCACACATACCCGAATTCTATCCCCAAGATGTTGGGGTGCGGGGAGCCAGGACTTGAGTCAAACCACCAGGGGCATCGCTTAAGCACACAGTTCTCAATGATGTCATCCCAACTAGGGGACGTTAGGCAACTCCTAGGCACATTGCTGATTGCTACAGCTCAGGGACTGCTCCTGGCACCTGGTGGGCAGCCACCAGGATGGTGTGAAGCTACCTACAGCACACAGGAGAGTGCCCATGACAAAGATCCTGTGATCCCCAATGTCAAGACATGCTGGCCAAGAAATCTGCCTACATTCCTATGCCCCTCTCTCTGTCTCTGCCTCTTTGTGGCCCTCACCCCAAAATGCCCACACCAACCACTGGATCCTGGAGGAGGAGCAGCTCTGCCCCTCCATCTTATGGCTACTTTGTTCTGTCTTATCGCCCGTACCTCCTGGCCTCTGCTGTTGGATTCAAAAGTCAACAAGTTGAAAAGTCAGCTGTGGCCATGGTCCAGGGGAAAAACACAGAAACAATGGCAACATGGTATGCAGGGGACACCCTGGTTAGCGTCATGCTTGCCCAGGGCACAGAGGGAGGGACTCGGCCACATCCAGGGGGTATAAAGAGGGAGTGCTGAAGTCTTCACTCCAGTGCGACTGTGGATCTCAGAGTGGCGCTTGCTCTGTGACCAGCTGGGAATCGGCATCATGAAGTGGATGGTGGTGGCCTTGGTCTGCCTCCTGGCCTTGGAGGCATCGACTACAATTGTCAAGTGAGTGTGGGCCTGGCTGTGGGTGCAGGGAACCTCAGGAGGCCTGCAGCCCTGTATGGAGCAGCTAGTCAGGGGGCAGCAGCTGGGTCTGAGTAGGGTTCCCTCTTGGGCCAGGGAAGGCTGCCCCTGCTGGAGCTGGGCAGGACTCAGCTGGCAGCAGACATAGCCTGGCCTCAGGAGCTGCTAGTCAAGGCAATAGCCTCCTCCCTCCTTAGACTGAGGGGAAAAGATGGTCCTGAAGCAGAGAGTAGGGCGACAGTACCCACACAGGCCTTTGCAGGATGAGTGTGGTTTCTTCCTACAGAAGGTAACAGTCCCAACTAGAGGAGAAAGATAATCTCTCCAAAAACTTTCCTGAGACCCCAAATTTGCTGGAAGAATCCAAGATCAAATTAGCAAAGACATCAATTCCTGTAAATCACTATAATATGAGGTGTTGAAAATTCTGGATGGAGCAGGTGATCTGGCTCAGGGGAAAGCAGGAGTCCCCACCTGCCACCCTGTCTGCTGTACCACTAGGGAAGAGTGCACAGGGCCTTTCCTGTGTGCAGCTTTATAGCCACACATTCAATTAGCTGCAGATTGAAAATATTAGGGGACAATTACTGCTCTCCTACTGCACAGTGTGTCTTATAGGCAGCACCAGGTGCCGGAGTGCACCACAGGAAGGGACACACTTTGGGGTGACCTTTGCTGTCTCTGAGAACTATTTTACTTTAGTTTTGTCTTTTCATGTTTCTTGTGACTGCACCCAGGTCAGGCACATGGTAAGCAAATGTTCTCCCACTGAGTCATATCCCAGACCTTACCCTTAAACTACAAAAGAACAAATATCAGCACACATCCTCTGGAAAGTGTAAAGTCCTAGCGTACCAAGTCCTTCTCCCTTTCATGGGAAGTATTTTCAGGGTCTCTGAGAACAGAGGCCAGGGCAGGAGTAGGACCTCTGAGAGGGACTGAGGGCAGGCATGAGGGAAGTTCATTGTTTCCCAAATGATGGAGCAAGTGCTGAGTGAAGTTGAAAGAAGTGGAGAAGGAAAGAAAGAAGAGGAAGAGGAAGGAGGCGAGGGAGAACATCAGGGAGAGAAGAAATGAGAAGGTAGAGGAAGGAGGGGGGCCCTGCCCTGACACCCAGCCTCCCCTAGGGTCCCCCTGAGGAAAATGAAGACTATGCGTCAGACCATGAGGGAAAAGGGCTTGCTGGGGGACTTCCTGAGGACCCACAAGTACGACCCAGCTCAGAAGTACCGCTTCAGCGACTTCAGCGTGCTCTATGAGCCCATGAGCTACATGGATGTGAGTCCTAGTCTCTAGGTGTCCCTGCTGCCAAAGCTGGGGACTCCCTGGGCTTTCACCCTGAGGCTGCTCCCAGTCCTGCCAGCCTGGGCCACCCTGCAGTGAGTGGCCCATTGGGCAGAGCATGGGGAGGGCCCCAGCTGACCTGGTAGCTGACCCATAGAGACCACGTGGCTGCCCTGGGCAGGCTGGGACTGAGGCCTGTGTGTCTGGGACCTGGGCTTCTGGTGGTCCTGTAGGGCAGGGCTGTCCTTCCTGCTCTCCCGTGGAGAAGCCTGGCCCCTGGATTCCCCTATTGCTCACAGCCGTCCTCATGGCTCCCCAGGCTGCCTACTTTGGTGAGATCAGCATCGGGACTCCACCCCAGAACTTCCTGGTCCTGTTTGACACTGGCTCCTCCAACCTGTGGGTGCCCTCGGTCTACTGCCAGAGCCAGGCCTGCAGTGAGTGCTGGGCTGGGCAGGGAGGACCCTGGGCAGGGCCAGGCATTGGCATGTCCAGGGATGCAGGCAGGGAAGGGTGCTCACTCCTGGGGAGGACCAGGGACTTGTTTAGGGTCTCAGGGCATCAAGAAGCCAGAGGGAGGAGGCTGGCCCTGCTCCAGGGTGGCCCCTTGCCTTGCCTCATGTCAGGATGGACCCCTTCATCTCTGCCGTCCACCTCACCTCCTCCAGTTCATTCCGCTCCACCCTCTCCTGCTCACCGGGCAGTGCTGCTCCTCCCCTCAGGACACTGTCCACTCTGTGCCTCGCCCTCCACTCTCCTATCCACTAGCTTCTCCCTGAGCGTCTCCAGGGACTGACCACAACTATGCTGGATGTGGGCCCTGTCCTGGAGTCATTTAGGGAGACAGAGGATCTTCAGTTTTAAGGCTGCCTTAATTCCTTCCAAAATCTTGGGGCGGGAGTGTGGACATCTCTGTCCATCATGGGCACACCCCATGATCCTCCACATCCCACTATGCCCAGCTCTTGTGCAAATCGAGGTTGGGCTGAGTGGATTCCTCTCTAGGCCTCCCTGCCACTGCTCACTGGATGAGCATTTACCACCAGGCTTTGTGCCAATTTCTGGTGGGGTAGAGATAGAGGAGGAGTCTGCTTTCAGGGTGGTCATCATCCGGGCATCCAATTACCTATGAAACATGGGCTTTCACCAATGCCTTCCAACTACTATGAGCCAGGGGCCAAGGCTGTCAGTCCCTCCTTGGTGACCAGATGGGGGTGCTGAACCCTCAGGCTGAGGGCTTAGGCTGAGGGCCAGGCAGGGGTGGAGCCCATGAGCCTGAGAGCCAGGCAGCCCTCTGCTCACCCCTGGCCTCCATGCCTCCCTCCTGCAGCCACACACCCTCGCTTCAACCCCAGCAAGTCCTCCACCTTCTCCACCAACGGGCAGACCTTCTCCCTGCAGTATGGCAGTGGCAGCCTCACAGGCTTCTTCGGCTATGACACCCTGACTGTGAGTGCTCCAGCTGCCACCCTGACCCTGGATGGGGGGCGTGTTAGAGGGTGGGGACCTAGATGTCACTTGTTCATTCACTGAGGTCCCTTCTGTGTCTGGCATGGGGCACCATAATGACCAGTCATACATTGATAATTTTCATTCAGGAGCTTAAAACCTGGAGTGCAGAGGATAGAGATGTGAGAGGGTGGGGACCTAGATGTCCTTGTTCTTTCCTGTCCAGGGATGGGGCACCAGAGTGACCAGTCAGGCATGGTGCATTTTTTTTCAGGATCTTAGAACTGGGAGGCAGAGGTGTGGGGATGGGAGGCTACAGTGGAGGAGGCCCTTGGAAGAGAAGTGACAGTTGGGATGCCTGTGGAGAAGTGGGCAGATGGGCCAAGGAGGAAGGAGGAGGGACGACCATGGAGGGTCTCTGGTGGCATGGGGCAGGAGGACATAGATGCACTCAGAAGTGTCACCTTCCCTCCAATGTGTCTTCCCCCCACAGGTCCAGAGCATCCAGGTCCCCAACCAGGAGTTTGGCCTGAGTGAGCAAGAGCCGGGAACCAATTTTGTCTATGCACAGTTCGATGGCATCATGGGCCTGGCCTACCCTGCCCTGTCCTCAGGAGGTGCCACCACAGCCCTGCAGGGCATGCTGCAGGTGGACGCCCTGTCCAGCCCCATGTTCAGCGTCTACCTCAGCAAGTGAGAGACTGCCCTGCGGGTCCCTAAGTCCTGCCCTGTACCAAGTCCTGATCCCTTGGGGTGTGGAGACCTCCCAGCAGGGGGTGGCTGGGCCACACTTGTTCAGAGCCTCAGCTCCTGGGCTTCCCTGCCCCTGCCCCAGTCCACTCTCAGGACACAGGATGGTCTCTCCTTCTTCAGTCTCAACTTCTCCCGGGTGTACCTGCTCTATTTCCCCATGTCTTGGGCCTGCCTGCTGCTCTGGGCCCCGAGAGCCCCCTGCCTCGCCTGTGCTTCTCTCTGAGGCCTCTCTGTCCAGTGACCTGCTGCCTCTCCTCCTGCTTGTGTCCTTCTAGGTCTTGGAGTCTCCTGGTCTAGGCCCTTGACTGACTCCTCACCCACTGTCCCCCCAGCCCCCACAGGAGGCCAGTTCAGAGCCCTGGGCTTGGCTTTTCTCTCTTGCTGTCCAGCTTTCTTCCTCTCTACCGTCTAGAGTCAGTTCCATCTTCTTGCTGTGGCTTGGTCTCCTTATCCTGCTTTCAACACATTGACCCTGACACTCATCCTGGGAACTCATTTTGCCTGTTTACACCTTCACATGAAACTCCAGGAACGACACACTCTACTACCACTAAGGGGAATCTTCTGGAAGAAACATGGCCTGTTTTTCCCTCCCCTTCACCAAAGACCTGCCCATGTCCACTTGCAAAGGAAAAGAAAATGTTGGGTATCTGTGAGGCTCCTACTGACAGGGTCGAGCAGTGGCATGAAATTAAAGGCAGAACATGGTAGTGTGGGTGGGGTCTACAGGGGAGAAGCTGCCAGACATCGAGCACTGTGGGGCAGGGCCATTCAGAAGCCTGACAGTACACATGGCCCTGTCTTCAGAAAAACCCTTTGGAAACCAGGGAAGGTGCTCTTTCCCTGTGAAGGTGACTTCTCTATATATGCATCCCCTTCCTTAACCTCTCCCTCACTTTCTTTGCCTGTGTGACCTACAGCCAAGGGGGATCTGAGGATGGAGGAGCGGTCATCTTTGGAGGTGTGGACGAGAGCCTGTACACAGGGCAGATCTTCTGGGCTCCTGTTACCCGGGAGCTCTACTGGCAGATCGGCATCCAGGAGTGAGTCTGGGTTTGGGGTTCCTGGGGACACATCTTCCTTGGAGCTGAATTCTGGGCACCTGTGGCACATGCACATCCAGGCTCCACTGAGGTGGGGACACCAAGAACTCCTGTGGCCTGCCCTCCCTAGAGCCTCAGCTGGCCTCCACAGGGGCATCAACCCTGGGTCTGGAGTAAGGGGTAGGGGGGCGCATGTGGAATCCCAAGTACTGGAGAAGCTTCTGTCCTATCACACAGGACACCACAGATTACAACCTGAGGTGTGTGGGACAACTACTATGTTCCTTGTTCTTATAACAAACACGATAACCCTGGATTTCAGCGCTTCTTAAAACTTCCTTGAAGTTTTTAGAATATATCCCTGGGTCCTTTAGGTGACCCAGCACAGACTCAGAGGGAATGTGAGGCAGGGGACAAGCTGCAATGGCCCTGTGGGGCCCTCATGTCCATCGCGTATGCTTGCTCCCTGTGCCGGGAAGGTCTCCCCTGGCTGCCCTGACCTGGTCGGGCTGAGGCTGCCCTCTTCTTGCCATCCAGGTTCTATGTTGGGGAAGAGGCTTCTGGCTGGTGCTCCCAGGGCTGCCAGGCCATGGTGGACACAGGAACCTCTCTGCTCACCGTGCCCCAGCAGTACCTGAGCTCCCTTCTGCAAGCTATAGGGGCCCAGGAGGATGAGTATGGACAGGTGGGTGTGGCATGGATGTGCCCTGGCCAGGTCAGGGTCAACAGTGGTGTTTGACCAGTGGTGTTTGTTGTTTCGTGGGTCCCTGTGAGTGAAACGTGGGGCTAAGCAAGTGAGTAACAAGGCCAACCCTCAATCCACACCTCTCTCTCCTCCACACAGCTATGCCCCCTCACTCCCATGTGTCCTGGCAAATGACATGGGTAACCAAATTAGCCCTCCCCACTAGGGGAGGGAGCCCTGGTCCATGTTTTGCACATGGCTGTGGGGTTTCAAAGGACACCTGCGGGGAAAGGGCAGCGATTCAACCTCTCAGAGGGGCCATTCAGGCAGGAGGAGCGTCTTTGTTGGGGCACATTCTTAGATCCACCCAGTTGTCACCCGCTCTAACTGCATATGTGGGATCCAAGTGTTATCCATATAGTATTTGTCCTGAACTTATCTCTCTCCTCAAATAGCTGGCCTGGGGCTCGAGTGGCCCCAGAGTGCTTAGCAGATGGGTAGCAGGTATCTTGGGTCGGGAGTGAGGGGACCTGGAAGAACCTGTTTCTCTGCAGTTTTTCGTGAACTGTAATAACGTCCAGAACCTGCCCACCTTCACCTTCGTCATCAACGGGGTGCAGTTCCCTCTGCCGCCCTCAGCCTACATCCTCAACGTAAGTCCTGGTCCCTGGGGCTGAGCCACTGGGGTGGAGGAACAGGTGCAGACAGAGAAGCTCCACCTGGCCCTGTGCCATTTCCCAACTCATGTCACCTGGGATTATCCCCACCAGAAGAGTGTCACCCATGATCAATCAGTCTCTTAATCAGTGGAGAGGGGCTCTGTCTAGGGCTAGCCCCTGTGTGAACCCCAGTGCCTAGGCTTCCTTTTAGGTGAAGGGATTTGTCACAGCATTTGATGGGGGAGATTCTCTTTCTGTTTTACAAATGAAAACCTGGAGGTTCAGAGAGGTTCAATAGCTGATCCAGCTGCACAGATGATGAGGGTGAAGGCAAAGTCTGAATGCAAGCTAGCTTTACTCTAAGCTGAACCATCATTCTGCTTTTGCCAATGAGGAACAGAAGGGAGCTTTAGCAAGAAAAGATTCCCAGCATGGGAATAGGTGACCCTGCAGAGGCCACTACAACCTGTGTTTACCACTGGGAAACCCTTCCCTCTAGCCCCTCTTGTGAAACATCACCTTGTGTATGAGTCTTCAGGGCCAGTCCTTGCCCTGCTCATTGACCAGGGCTCAGGCTAGCAGTGGCCAGGCCATGTGTGACCGAATAAATGAGTGCTGCCTTTCTCTGTTGAGCAGGAGAATGGCTACTGCTCGGTTGGACTGGAAGCCACCTACGTGTCCTCAGGAAATGGCCAGCCCTTTTGGATTCTTGGGGACGTCTTCCTCAGGTCCTACTATTCCGTCTTTGACATGGCCAACAACAGGGTGGGCTTTGCCACTGCCGCCTAGACGTTCCTCCTGGACACCTGGGCTCCCGTCCTCCTCCTGGCCCCACCTTGCCTGGGGCCCTCTGTCCTTCCTCTCTGCAATGTGCCATTCTTAGTGGACCTTCTCCAATAATAAACAGTATCCCATATTGGCCAACCTGATGCTTTTGGAGTTTTCTTGTGTCCTGGAAGTAGCTGTGGGTCTCAGGGAATGGCAGAGTGGGAATCAGGACAGGTCTCACCCTGATAGATATGAGGGGCCATGAGGTTCCCTGGTGGGTCACTGAGATTCTAATTAAATGGGTCCTGAGCTGAGGCTTGGATATGGGCTCTGTCTTCCTTAGAGCTTGGAGTGTCTTCATAGTTTCCCTCTAAAGTGGGGGCAGTGGTAATGGAGCGTAGGTGACGGGTAAGGGTCCCTACTGTAACAACCTGAGATGCCCTTGTGGTCCACTTTACCACTCCCAAGCTACTCACGACCCCAGGACACAGATGCATGTCTATAGGCAGTGTGACTGGGGGACACAATTCCCAGATCTAGATGTCTATCCTCTTAGCTCTTATTCAACCTTGGCCAGAATTATCTGAAGTTTCTAGACACCTATGTGCCCTTGCAACTTTCATGGGGTCTATGAGGGAGGAGGCTGTGCTAGATACTATTTCTAGGAGGACTTCTGGAGTTGGGGACTGAGTTAGGCAGATTGCATTTACCTGGTCTCCTAGGTCCCAGGACTTCAATTTGAAGGAGGGCTGACCCTGAGCTATGGACATGGGCATAGCTCCTTGAATTACATGGACATCAAGCCGATGTTCTCTAACCAAGTCAGATTAACAAACCCCCAAATAAGGCAACTTCTGTCTTTGGAGACAAAACAGGTAGTTGAACCTATGGTTTACATCAGTTTCACATTCAGTCCAGTCACTATAAGTCAGGAGTTCCCAAACTTAAGTTATTCAAACACGACTCTCCTGCCTTTTGCTCTTTGTGTGTGTGTGTGTGTGTGTGTGTGTGTGTGTGTGTGTTGTGTGTGTGTTACACTCCCCTGATGTGAGGAGTAGGAGAAGAGTGTGGGTAAGTTCCACACCCATCCCTCTGACTTCCGTGTAGTACCACACCTGGAGGTGTGTAATAGTGGCTAGGGAGGACGTTGAAAGGTAGCAGCTGGGTCAGGTGTGTGGACAGAACCACAGACACACTATTCTTCTTGCGGCTTGACACTGACCTGTACTCAGTTGCCAGGCTTATGAAGGGGAGAAGGTCACCCTCTCTGTAGGCAGTGCTCTGTATCCTGCTCTCCCCAATTTTTGTTCCTCTCCTCTCCCTGATTACTCCTCCTTAAAAATGTGAGTTTTACAGTAAAAACTCTTCGGACCCAATATATATTTTTGATAAAATGGACCTAACAGATATCCACAGAGCATTTCATCCAAAAAGACCTCAATGCATTTTCTTTCATGTGTCCCTGCGATCTTTTGCAAAATGGACAATATTTAAGGCCATAAGCAAGGTTTTGTAAATATGAAGCATTCTATGAAATTCCTCGTATGGTAATAGATCATAATGAAATGAAATTAGAACTCAGGAGAAAGAATAAAATGACAGAAATGATACAAACACATCTGGATGGGCCATAAAAAAACTAGGGGAGAATTTAAAATTCTTAGAACTAAGAGACAGCGATGCCTCATATCAGAATCTCCTGGACTCCATGAAGGCCATTGGGAGGGGAAAGGTATAGCCATGAGCGCCTACATGAGAAAATTAGAAAGATTCCCAATATACAACTTCATGATGAATCCAAAACCTGGAGAAGGAGGTAAATAATTAAGACCAGAGCTGAAATTCATGCAACAGAGGATCAATTTTGAAAAATACAAAGGATCAATGAACAGGGAATTGAATCCTTGAAATGATACATAAGATTAACAAACCCCAGCCAAACTAACCAAAAGAAAGACAAAGAAGACCCAAATTAATATAAAATTAGAATAAAAAATGTAGATATCACCACACATATCACAGGAATCCTGACAATCATCATGGACTTTTTTGGGAAAATTTATAGTCCAATAAACTGAAAAATTGAGGAGCAGGTGAGTTTCTAAACACACATGGCCTACCCAAATTGAACCACGTGAACAGAGAAAACAAACAGATCCAAGAGAAGCAATGATATTGAAGCAGTAATTAAAAGTCTACCACAAAAGAAAAGCCCAGGAAACGTGGATTCTCCTGTGAATTCTACCAGGCCTGTAAGAAGAATTGAAGACAGTGCTTCCCAAGTTATCCTATGAAATAGAAATGGGGAGAGGGAGCAATTCCAAATTTATTCTACGAAGCCAGAATCACCCTGATGCCAGAACCAGATAAGGACACAACAAAGAAAGAACACTACAGATCCATATCCCTGATGAACATAGATACAAAATTACTTAATAAAATGTGAGCAGATCACATTCAACAACACAATAAAGAGATTATACATCATGATCAAGTAGGTTTCCTTCCTGCGATGCAAGGATGGTTCCAAATATGCAAATCAATGAGTATAATTCATGAAATAAATAGAATTAAGGACAAAAGTCACATACTAATCTCAAAAGACACAGAGAAAATGATTTGGAGGGACGAGGGGCTGGGAGCAGAGGGGGTGCGGGCGGGGTGGGTCTCTGGGGACCTTCGGCTGTCCTGTGGCTGCGGGTCCTCTAGTACCCGAGGCTACTTGCGGTGGGCCCAGGCGGTCGCCCACAGCCGCAGAAACTTCTGGAAGGACTCAGCCAGCTGCACAGGGCCCTTCAGGTGACAGTGAACCTTCTAGAGTCCCAGGGTAAGGAGCCATGGTTCCTCCACCTCCCCAGGGCGGGCCTGGCCACCTCCTTGTAACCCTCATAACCGCCCTGAGGGTGGTGGAGGGGTGTTTGATAAATAGACTTGTCCAAGGTCGCTCAGCTGCCGGCAGCAACCAGGCAGATTTGTGGGGAGGTTTTCAGGACCCTCCACACAGTGGCCGCGACTGGATCCAGGTTCTCTAAATCCAGCCACCTTGAAACCAAACTGGCTGTCCTTCCCTGCCATAGTCTGGCTGGGCACATATAACCAAGCCGCCACAAAGCCTTGTAGATTCAAACAGCAACTCTTTATTCCCCAACTCTCACCGGCACTGCACACACCACACGGGACCACACTCCCTCCACTGGGCTCCATCCAATCTCCCCAAACCCCCATGAGAACTCCACGGGAACTCCAAAGTAGCCGGCGCCCTAGGCAGCAAGAGCCTCCCTATTGCCTGACAGTAAAGGTCAAATATACAACTCAATCAATCCAGCAACGCAGCAATTATATACAGCTTAACTCAAATCATCATCTCAATGGTTCGCTGGCAAATGCCAGGCGTCATTCTGATTGGGCTGTGGCTGTCAACACTTCCCCTTGGCAGGCAGAGGACTCATCCTCAGTCCAATTGGAACCTCGGTCACCTTTACTTACCTGCCACTCTTAGCCACTTCCCTGGTCCCCACCTTATCATACTCTTTGGTGGCATAACTACAGCCATCCTCCTTTCCCACCCCCACTTTCTGGATACTGTTCTTCTTCTCAATCCATAGAGACTTGCTGGTCTCCGTTCTCTCCTTGAGAGATAAAAAGTTGCTCTTCTTCGTTCTCAAGAAACAGTAACTTGCCTTCTGCAAAATCAGGTGATACTTGCTATGCCAGTGACAAGGGCCAAATCCACAGCTAAGGTGTGGCCAAGATCCCCGCCTATTAAAGGTGATGCTCAAGGGGGAGTTGCTGCGGAGTCCCTCTCCTGCCACTGTCTCCGTGTGGAGCAGCCGGTCAGGTGCCTGACAATAAATCTGCTTATGTCTCTATCCTTGGATTGTGCCCCTGTCCTGCCTCACATTTCTTTCAGTCTTCATCTTTTGCAACTAACCTGGTTTTCCATCCTGCTGCCACCATCTTTGGACCCCTCTGTCACAAACTTCTGTCACTAACTTCTCCCTTTTCTCACAGGTCACTTTGTAGAGTCCCCAACCCGTGCATCAAGTGGTTCCATTCTCTCTCTCTCTCTCTCTCTCTCTCTCTCTCTCTCTCACACACACACACACACACACACACACACACACACACACACAACCTGTTAATGATTTGCAAAGTCCAAATCAAAACTCCTGAACTTGGCATTCAAGATAATTTGAAATCTGGCTCCAGCTTACCTTTCTCACCTGACCTCTCTTGGTTCCTTAAGTAGAGGTCATAAACTGGCAGATTCAACTGAAAACTGGGTTTCCACTGGCCAGCAGAATTTCTTTTTAAATTTAACTCAATATTTGTTTTAAAATTAGGCGATATTGTTCTTTAAAAAATCCAAATTTGGGGGCTGTGATTATGGCTCAGTGATAGAGCGTTCACCTAGCACACGCAAGGCACTGGGTTTGATCCAAAGCACCACATAAAAATAAATACATAAAATAAAGGTGTTGTGTCCAACTACAACTAAAAAATATTTTAAAAAATCCAGATTTCCACCAGGCATGATGGCAGACCCCAGCAAATCAGGAGGATGAGGCAAAATAAGTTCAAGGCCAGCCATAGCAATTTACAGAGACCTTTAGCAACTTAATAAGAACTGTCTCAAAACAAAAAATAAAAAAGGAGGGGCTGGGGATGTGGCTCAAGTGGTAGTGCGCTTGCCTGGCATGCACGGGGCACTGGGTTCGATCCTCAGCACCACCATTAAAAATAAAATGAATATGTTATGTCCACCAAAAACTGAAAAATAAATATTAAAAATTCTCTCTCTTTCTTTCTCTCTCTCTCTCTCTCTTTTTAAAAAAAGATAGTAAATAAAAATAAAAAAGGACTGGGAAAAAAAAAAGAAAATGTTTTGGAGAAAACTCATCCCCGAGTCATGATAAAATCACGAATAAAACTAAGTATATAAGAATCTTCCTTCAGCATCACAAAGGTTATTATATTCAACAAGTCCAAAGCCACCATCATATTGAGTGGGGAAAAACTGAAAGCATATTCTCTAAAATCAGGAACAAGACAAGGATATTCACTCTCCTCATTTCTGTTCAATGTAGCACTTGAAATTTTAGTCAAAG